TACCCTCCCAGTACACAATATTCAACATGAGATTTAAACATATTTCACACAATGACATGCTTCTAAAAACTTGTTTTTCCTCTAGTACATGAAGATTTGAAGTTTGTTTCTTTTCTTTTCTCCCCCGAAGACCATTAACTCGGTCTTTACAAGCTACGCTATCACAACTCGAAAAAAAAAATGATTCTATGTAACAATTCAAACATCAAAAGTATAGTGTTTGATAGAGATATCGTCCTATACTGGTAATAGTGTTGTTGAAATTAGAAAAAGACATCGTTGAGTGATCAAACGAAGCTTTGATTAGGATGAGTCAAAAGAGTTTCTACTTCAACCGAAATAAAATAAGAATGAGAGGATTAAGAAAGTGGGCAAACTACTCAATCGACTAAAATTGACCAAGACTGTTGCAAGTAGCTTGAGAATCTCGGATGGTCGTATCCGAGTATGCCCATTAAAGCAATAAAGGCTGGCAGGACACGACTAATCATCATATCAGAAAGAGCCTGAAGAATCTCGGAAGGCCACAATTAATATTCAAAAGCAACAATATATGCTGATCGTTGAAAAATCCAGCCATGAAATCATGATGAAGCTGAAATTTTAAAGTTTATGAGTCTGAGTTTCATGTTGAAGTTTATGATCAAAGTTCCGCCACCAGCCGAACATTTGATATTGTTGTTCTGGGGTTGAACAGCCCTATTTGAAGGTTCATAAACCAGAACGAAATAACATCGAAACAACTACATGAAAGAGATGCATCTAACCCATTCCAAACTGTGACAAGCAACAGTTATTGTAATGAAAAGAACCTGGACTCTTTAAATACAGCTTAGATCAGCAGATTGTTACCGTGCTGAAACAGTCGTATCGTACGAAATCGAAACAGCTTCCAGAAACTGAAGATACATACGAGCTATGAAGTATGAGAACAAACGAATGCATACAATGCAAGAATGTAAATGGTGTTCATATAGTTGAGCTGACACAATAATTAGTTCCACAGTTGAATTATTGCATACATACACTGTGCATAAAAATCTGATCATGTGATATAAAGATTCTGCTTTAACCAAAGTATTTGATTCGCTTCCCAACAAGAATCTCATTTCCTGTAGCTAAGCGGACCAAGAACATCAGTAGAACAGTGTGTAAATATTAAAATGTAATTTATAGTTAATTCATTACCAGAACAAAAGATTAGTGCTTCCATCTCTTCCAATGCCCATCTTCCATGTATGGTTCTAGAAATCCAATGAACTGAAATGATGCAAAAAGTACAGCAACACTGTAATCTCCCAAATACTCAACTTTCTCCAGGGAAAAACTATCATTCCGCAAACAATTCTTTATTGTTGTAATATAGGAGAAGGAGTAAGCATAAATAGCGAGAGGAGAAGAGGAGAGGGAGTAAGGAGATCAACTCAAAGAGGAGAGGGGTGATGCAGCCCGACCGATAGAGAGAGGGGCAGAAAACAGTGAAATCAAGTAATATGCAACAAATTGAGTTGGTATATATCAATTACTTCCAGATCTATAAATAAGAGAACGGGGCCTCGTATAATAACGATACCTTGTTTCCATCGTTCGACCACCTGGCACCGTACCCTTCTGCTATCCTTATCTCAAAGACTATTCCATGTGGTGCAACCATATGAATATTCAACCAGCAACTATGAGCTATCAAGTGAACAATCGTATTCATGGCAAGCCGATTCTTATCCGAATCTGGTGAAAGAGTTTTACAAAGGATGATCAGTCAAGTACACCGTCAAAAAATTTTAAAATCAAATCAACTTCAATCTTTTCCCTTTCATATATAGAAGAAAGAAACTGCTCACCGTTTCCATGAAAAGTACCCCAATATTTACTACTAGATCGATGATGATGCTTTGCCAATGCCTTAGCTCCATGAGTTAACTTTATGCCTTTGCCCTTGATTGATAAAAAAAAGCGAACCTTCATAACTGGGCGACATAGGAAATTACGAGGATGCAACTAGAGGCAAGGGAACAGCAGGAGAAGCATGATTCAATGTTTCCTTTTCAAAAAGAAACAAACTTTTCACCAAATGTCACAATGTAAGGAACTACCTTAAGGAATATACAAAAAAAAAAATCCCTCTACCCAACTGAAGAAAATACAAGAATAAGCTCTTGACATCATAGCAAATCATAGCAAATCACCAAAGTTAATCCTCATGTCAAGTTTAAAGTTTGCGATAAATGCAAACTTAACGCATACAAGAAAAAAGGGTCGGACAATATTTATCGACCACACGAGTCTGTCAGATAGTTTGAAAATGCTAAAAATATTATCGAATCATATCTTATTTAAACTTCGGTTTATATGTAACTCATCATGGAAAACAGAAACTAACCTCAGGTTTATATGGAAGAATAAATGAAGATAAAAGAGCTGATCTTGGTGGGGGAAGAACATCAGGAACCGTTCCTGCGGTATGTGTCAAACCAAGAAGACCTTGAAGGCCTTCATAACTCAACTCCTGGACTAGAGAATTAGATAATCAATACAAACTAGATACCATGCAGAAACATGTCTCATGTCAGCCAACGAACCGAAAACTTTAATGTTCACAACATATAATTGAAGGACTTCTTGAATGCAATTCGTACCATTTGATCACATGTACTGATACTACTCTAATATTCCTTATCACTTAAAAAGTTCTTATGTTAAACTTGTGCTCTCGAGGTCATAAATCGGTTAACTTCATATTATAAATCCTACAACTTTGGTGACTGGATTGTAGCATTGATGTATAGCATTGGAGTGAAGAATTTAGTTCAAATCAAGATTTAGTCCAAAAACTACGAAATTGTGACTACATGACGAAAATTTAAAAAAATTTTAAATGTCGGTATTCGATCATGCATTTTAGCAAGAAAGAAAACTCACTGAGATTATTGCAGCTAAAGAAATGTAAGGCTGAAGTGGCACACTTGAAATACATATAGCAAGAACACCGTCAGCTATTTCTTCCTCTTCTTCGTTCAAAAAGTTCAATATTTGCAGACCTGAAAATATGTCCATCATAATCGTTCACTATGCTAATTCACTGTTTTAATTCTTAACAATTTCTCCATCTCAAATAACGGTAGAACTAAACAGACCAGTCAACAATCAGGATTTTGAGAAGAACATGAAATTCATCAAAGGAGCAACTCAAAAAAAGTTGTTTCTTTAATGAATTTCTTCATCCAGTTAAACTGTTATATCTGAGTCAATAAGAATAACTACCAAACATGTCCTAAGCAACACTTTTTCTGTTTCTACAAAAACTTGGTGACTGTTCGGTATCTAATCAGCTTCTGTTTTTAAGTTCGGGAAACAGTAAATACTAAAAGTATCCTAAATTTGCATTTGGCATGCTTTTTTTCACCAAATATTTCCAGAAACAGTAATCTAGGTAAGTCAATATTTTAATACTTCATTTTTTAATATTTTCTTCGTTTTCGAGTTCAATATTTTTAAATTGTGGCAAACAGCATAAAATTTTCTCTCTAATCTCCACCTCCCCTCAAAAATAGAATTCATTTCATCACTTGAAGAAAAATAGATCATAGAAAACAAATGTTCTGTTTTCTACCTTTTCAAAATTCAATCACAAACACAGTTCTCGTCTTTTAAATTTTGTTTTTTAAAAAAAAAAAAAAAAACTACTTTCAAACTCTGCTATCAAATGTATATTCAGATTGAAGAAATACAATCTGTTTATAGATCATGAACCAAACGGAGATTCATATATCATTTTAAATCTTATCAAAATTTCAAGAAGTTTGTATTAGATAACAAAGTAGTACAGTTTCCGATATGGAAAATGTTGTATAAATATTCAAATAGTCAAGAAAAAGCTGTATATATTTACAAGAATTACCTTCGTCAATGCTTTCAACTCCAGGCAGGATGCTTTGAAGATTTTCAGACTCCAACATATCATAAATTGACACATACCGGCGAACATCCTTCAAAACTCAGTAGCTTAACAAGTTACAAAGAATAAAGCTAAAGGGAAACAAAATAGAAAGAAAGAACAAAAGTTACCGAGATTTCAAATACAAGACACTTATTGAAGATAATCAGCATTCCTGGTTCAAGTCTGCAGCCAGAAAGGAAAAGGGAAAATCAAAACTAGGAATTGGCAATATTAAAAAGAATAAATAATCTAGGATAATTAACGTTATGGTACCATACTAACTTAGTCATATTTAAGGTGAGAGTTGAAATCAAAATTGTATGATAACATGTGATTAAAAATAAATACCTATCGTATTTGGCCAAAGCGTACTTTCTTTCGATTGATTTTTGGCCATCTACAAACAAATTTAGAAGAGAATCCATGTCGAAGTAATGAATCAACAAACTAAGAAACTTGGATAAAGAAATGTTCTAGACTAATACCTATTGCTCTAGACTAATAACATTGGCTTTCAATTCACAATACCTTTTAGCTGCATAAAGAAATGTTCATCGACATGAAGTTCAAGGATAAGAGTTTTAAGTATCTGCTGAAATAAAAGAGTCTTTAATGAAGGATAAAGTCGATCTTATCGGTTACTAACAAAATGGAAATTCCATGTCTCATTTACCTCTACCATTTCAGACCCCTTATCCATAATCAGCTTCAGCCATTTTTCCTCTTTCTGCTTTAAAGAACTTTCTCCATTTGTCATTAACATTCTCTTATACATTGGACAGAAGGAGCCATAACAGATGGATTCCCACAAAGCTGATGATAAACGCTTGTATAAAGGATATGGAGGAACTCCTTCATTAAAAAGAACCATACAATTTTATAGTGGTGCGATTGAACTAAATCAAAAAGTCATCCTAACGAGTTATTGACAATATGAACAGGCCATGAAATATGTTTTTTTTAAGTAGGAGGGAGCTCAATTTGTTCGTAGAACCATAGGATTTTCGTTCCCACGAATCATGTAACGGCCCAGACCCACCGCTAGCAGATATTGTCCTCTTTGGGTTTTCCCTTTCGGGCTTCCCCTCAAGGCTTTAGAACACGTTTGCTAGGGGAAGATTTACACACCCTCATAACGGGTGTTTTTGTTCTCCTCCCCAACCAATGTGGGACATCACAAATCATTAAAGAACAGACATTATCAACATCTTCAACTTTTAAAACTTGTTCGGACTGGGTTAAAAAACATATTTGGTCCCTGTACTTCCATTGAAGCAATGATCTGGCTCCATAAACTTTTGTATTATCCCCTATAGTTTAAAATTTGTACAATTAAACCCTTTATTTGAAAAAATCCATCGAGACGAAATACCGACCTTCAATACGTAGCAATTAAAACACGCATAGTCCTTGATCGATTTCTTCATCTACATATGGAAAACAATCCTTTTGCACCTTAGTGGGATTTTCTAGAACAGGAACTAATCGTTATTAATCTTAAACCAAAACGACCAATACGTTATTACAAAATTTAAACTACATGGGATAAATGAAGACGAGTTACTAACTTAAAACTCTTGTTGGGGGATGGTTCATAAGCATAATGCAACAAGTGAGCCCGACATTGAGTTATTAAAAGCTTCTCAACGATCTTCCTTCGCTAATTTCTTCATAAAACCACACAAATCTTGCAATAGCAATTGGAGGGAAAACTTAAATGAAGGCTAAACAAGCATACATTTCACATTTCAAGTTTAAATTAAGCAAAAGAATCCACGGTGTTTCCAGAAAAGATCATACTAATCCACATTCTTCTCAACGTTTTAGCAAATCAAACAGAGAATGTACTGAAAATAATAAACAGCGAGTTCTGTATTTTTACCGGCTGTGGAGTCTGGTAACGGATTGGAAGAAGGATCATGTTTAAGGAGACCAGAGCAGAAGGCGGTGGAGAGACCCAAATCAAAGTCTAGGGTTCCGTTAATGGAAGACTGCAAAACGAACTCAAGCAACTCCTGCACGCAATCCTCAACCTTGATCATAATCAGAGAGACTATTGGACAAGATGCGTAGGGCTCCAATGTTTTCACCTTCGAAATCTGACGAATGAAATAATAAAAACATAAAATCTAGATTAACATAATCTCTCCCTTAACAATTATAAGCCATCCCCTCAGCTCACAATTATCTTTATACTTAACAAGCTTACCATGTTTGCTCCCAAGTTTGTTGATATCAAGGAGTAGAAATAATATCAACTCACTTTAGGTCTACGAGCGGAAATCCAAGGTTTCACGGTGCCTCAAGTCTTTTCACGTACGTCATTGCTTTGTAAGTAGCGACTCTGATGGATATGTATAGACAAAAGAGTAAATCGTCTGAGACTATCCAAGCTTCTTGAGGAGGTTGTAAAGAAATTCCTCTCGATTTGATTGGTGATCACGAGGGCAATTAGGTAAGCACAGTCAAGCTCAAAATCAAGACATGTCATTATGTCCAAAATGCAACTGCAAACACGAGAGTGAGTGTTTGGTATGCACGGGAGCATGTTATGGATGTGGCAAACTAGGCCACCCGATTGTACATTACCCACACGACCAAGAAAAATAATTAGGAATTTGTTCTCTATTGTCGGCATCAAATAGATTTGAATCATTAGAATTTAAGTTGCTATAAAAATGATGATTCTAAACAAATGTATAGACCTGCAACTCAGATTATCTTTGAGTTGTAATTATTTTATTGCTCATATTTAAAGCACCTTATTCGAGTATGATCTAACTTGTCTAAATATAAACGGTCGATTTGAAATTATAGCTTCATTTTCCTCCACCACAATTATGATTTCTGTCACGATCCGATTTTAGAGCTTGTTTGGGATTATGATGGAGCAGACTCAACGAGATAAAAGTTCGATAAAAAAATATAGCGTTCGAAAAACAAAGGAGTTTAAAACATAAAGCAAGTATATGTATTCAATATCCAAAATAAAGTTTATGCTTAAATACAAAAGGAACCGGTTACGAAATGACCAAAAAAAGTTCATAAAAACCATGAATTCCCATTAAAAAAAAATAAAATAAAATAAAATAAAGTTTATTGTAGCATTTTGATCGTTTTTCATCTAAATCTTGGTATTATATCCTAAACATATTTTTAATACTTTTAAAATAATTTATAGTCGTTCATATTATTATAAATGAGTCTAATATAAAATTTCTCATCATCTCGGATTCATTTAGACCTTCAAAATATCATAAAATCTTAATAGGGGTATTTTGGTCTTTTTTTCACCCAAATCTTGCTTCCATTACCTTGAAACCTTGTATAGTCGTTCATATCCTTAAAAATAGACATAAGTTCATTTAGGGCGTGAAATAACTTTATGAACATAGTATGGGCATTTTGGTCATTTTATCCATGTCCTTGGTTTAAGCCCTAAACATGCCCGTATGTCTATCAAACTTCAAATAAGTTCTTGTTATGTGATATTAGACCATCTATTAAAATTTCATAAGAAATTGACATCGATTCTCCCGAGAGGTCATAATTAGCGCGAGCAAACATATAACTCTCTGAAAGTAGATTTATATGAAGTCTTTTTGCAGTTAATTTTGCACTCATACTCACCATTTTCTCATTAGTTGCTCGATTTATTCTAATTAGTAAGCATGAAATAGTTCATTGTGGTATAACATGAAAAGAAGATCAATTTGCATAATTGAGCCTAATTGTACGTTTAATTGAGTTATTTGGTAAAATTTTCAAAATATTTATGTTGAACCAGGATGATGTAGCAAATCTGGAAACAATCCTGTTGGGATGACATGTCTTACCAATTAGTGAGGGAAGAGAGAGTAATCTACAAAAGAAAAAAAAATGATTTGATGGATGAGTTAGTCAAAATAATGGATTCTCTCTGGGAGACGGAGTCCATTTATAAGGAGCTAACGACCCAAAGGACATTGTAAAAAATGAAAAATGGCACTCTTTCACTCTACCTTTCAGTTTTTCTCGATGTACCGCTCATGGATTCTCAACCCAAATGAATCTGGGGAGCTGCGAGCCATTACCCAACCCAACAAAAAAGACTGATACCATTGGTTTGGATGCGCTTTCTCAGTCATTGAATATTGTCTTTGAAGATATTTTTTTGCACGGAAGTAATTCGAAAAGAAATTTTTTTGAGAATGACATGAAAATTATAATCCAAATCAGCAAGCCACGTGGGTCATTGACTACCCAATTAGAAACTTCCTCCATGGACGACTTACTTCTTTTTAGTACTAAATGAAGTATAGGAATGTTCGAGAAATTACGAACCTTAGAAATTATATATTTAAGATTGAGAACCAAGTAAAATACTACACAAGCTCTACAACTAACAAAGTAAGTAGAATGCTAGGTACCACCTCAAGAATAAGGGACCAAAGTCTTTAAACTCAGAAACTCAAGCAACTCCTAAGACCTCTCACAACATATCATGTTCATGACTCGGACTATGCTGCTTGGAATATATGAAGCCTTGAGCATAGGTATTCAGACTATGCCGCTTGGAACATATGAAACCTTGGACATAGGTATTCAAGTTATCTCACTGGACAAGCACTGGATGCAAGTTTTTAGACTACGCTACTTGAAACGTATAAAGCCTTGAGCATAGGTATTCAAATTATGCCACTTGGAACGTATGAAACCTTGGCCATAAGTATTCCGGCTGTATCACAGGGCAAGCTCTGGATGCAGAATCAAACTACATCGCTTGGAATGTAAGAAGCCTTGGATGTAGGTTTTCAAACTACGTTGCTTGAAATACGTGAAGCCTTGGACATAGGTTCAGACTGTGTTGCTTGGAACGTATGAAGCCTTGGACACAGGTTGTCAGGTTCATACCTAGTACCGTAAATCATAGGAAGAGTCAAAACGAACCTAGAACAAAACAAGAACCTAGAAAGTAACCAACAACAAGACAACGTTCAAAGACTAGAACAAAGATCATGATTAAAGTTTTGAAGATAAGAACCCAGAACCATAGTACTAAGGCTCTTAGGAATGAACCAAGATTGAGTCCTCAAATCATGGTAAGAACTCACATGTCAAGAACAAAACTAAAGACCTAAATACTTTAACAAGAATCCAAATAAGAAAAGGAGTCGGGTACCCTAGCATATTAAGAATCGGATTAAGAGTCGACAAATAAGTTAGGTATTGAGTCTTTGTAATCACTCCATGTTTTCCATATTTTTCAGGTAAATAAGGAGTTGGTCGAGGTTGGGAGCGGACTTTAGAGCAGGTGCCATAGACAAGCCTCAATCGTCGTCCTCAACCCCTCTTTGTTTTAAATGTTTTGTGTCTATTCCTTATTTTGTATTTTAATTGTTAAGTTGTGTTTTTTATATAATAATGTATGAACTTTATTGTATAATGAATATTATGTTTTAAATTCTCTTTGTTTGGTTTTATTTTATTTCGCAAAAAAAAAAAAAAAAAAAAAAAATTGCCCATCTTTTTAGAGTCATCGAGTCACGGTCTATACAAAGGCAAAGGCTAAAGAGCTCTCTATCGGGTTGCCTGATTAACCTCAAACCTTGTAGAAAATTGGTAAAGTTTCGAGAGATTCAAACTCAAAAGTGAGAGCAACCATGAAAATTCGTTCTTCATAATTTTTGCTCTTTTCTTTATTTCCAGCCGTTCCTTCTTTCTCTACTATATATCGGCGGTTTGTTGGGAGTGACTGCAGCTGTTTTTCTTAATTTCACCTCATCTGCTCGATATTTTTTTCCCACTTCTCAATTCTATTGCTTGACATTGCTTCATGCCCTCTCTTTTTGGTGTTTTGGTGTCTGTTGATAGCTTCTCAAGAGGTCTATTTCGTAACTCAGTTGCTAATTGATCTACTTGAACTTCCAAATTTCACAATGATGCTTGTTGAGTTTGTATCAAAAAATTATTTTGAGTCATATATTCCTTTATTAGGCTCTCAAGCGATGTTCTCGGTATGTATTGAGTTTGGTTAATTCCTTTCCCTTGGGTGTTGATATGCCAATTGATTTTGTAATCTAAAATCTCGAGCATAATTTCTTTAGGTGACATTTGTTGGTTGTAAGAGTCTTGTCCCTTCCATGAGAAGTTTGGATAGTTTCTTCACCCCGGATTATAAGTTGTTTGAGAAGGGATTATTTTTCGAGTTGCCTTGGCTAGCTTGATTCCCCACATAAAAAAATTGAGGTCGGATTGCTTGGACATTGATCAAAAGTGTGTTCCTCTCCACAATATGCATAAGATTCAGCTGCTGTTTGAATCATTACAGCAGCAGTTTGGACTGGTGCTTTCGTCCTTGAGCCTTGTCCCAATGCTAGGTTTTGTAGGATATTCGTCATCGAACCTAATTGAGCGTTGATAGAGGTTAAAGCATCAACTTCTAGTACTCCTCGGGCCTTCTTTCCTAGATTCACATCCGGCAATTGTTAAATGCTATTCTCTCTAAAATCTCATATGCTTCTTCGTATGTCTTTGACAAAATAGCTCCATTGGCGGAAGCATCCACCACTTGTTTAGTAGAAATATTCAATACATTGTACAAGGTCTCCATTTGGATACAATGGGGTAGTCC